ATCAGATAATCTAGGAAGTTTAGCGTTCAACAGATATGGTTTCCGCTGTCATCCATACAACCAGTCATAAAATCATGTCACACATGAAGTCAACAATTTATTCATAATCCAAAACATTGGAGAGGTTTAAAGATTTACATCATTATTGCTAAGTCTTGAGGACAAAAACTGATCTGATAATATATATAGCATTCAATCTATTTACGTTTTAAACACTTTACGGCAGGAACTGAATTACTAACTGTTGCTTGAGCATTGAGGCATGAGGATTGGCAGCCTGCCCCATGAACAGAACTTTTATGAAAATGCTGTAAGTCTAAGATTGTCACAACCAATACTCTGGCTGCAATTCAATATAATTGCTTTCTCCGAGCTTGAAGTCCCTTCGAAAATTTGTAGAAAACATCGCTCACTTTAACAGCTGATGTCTGCCAATTATACGAAACAAAATATAAGAATCAACTATTCCGACTTTGGCATTGTTTTTTACTGATCATATACCTGATTTGGGCAGTTTCCAGGAACTGGACAATAATATTGGTCTATGATAATAGGTTGCAACTGCATCAAGATGAATTCTTGAAAGTAATCTCCTTGGCAAATCCAGATCCTCCCTGGAAAAGTATGCCAAGAACAGAAGGGAAATATTAATTACGTACCCAGATAAATCAATCAATTATTATTCATTTGTCTTCATTACCTGCCATGTTTTAATCCTTGCTCCATTTGTACTCCCTTTGAAGCTACAGTCGCTGACGTTTTATTTTTAACTCTAGCCATAGCTCCATTTGCTCCCAAACTTCCAATACTAAAAAATAGTAAAATCCTTTTTCAATTAAGCGAACAGACAATTAAATAGCAGTTGATTTTTCCAATATTGATTTGCTTATTGAGAACCTTATGCCGTGACCTGGTCCACATGTCACATGACTAATATTGAAGTTGAAGGACTCAGTACCAATGGCAATACAGTCATCACCTACAGTATAGTGAACAAACATTAAGTAAAATAGTGCAATAAATTCTAATTAACTGTCTATATATAGAACCAGAGAATACCAGTTTCAATGTTACAATCGTGATATAAACATTCCTGTCTGGCCGATATCTGCCATCGGTGTTGGGACTTGAACCAGGAGCAGTAATATTTAGATGAGAAATGACTCATTCCTGCAACCAGTAACATAATATGGTTCCTTGGGCTGTTGATGTGTCTTCAATTGATTCAGACGGGTTAGTGCATTTGTTAACGTCAAAGCCTAGCCAAATCACCAAATATTTAGTTACTGATTGCATTCAATAATACTATTCTCCATTGATTGAAATATATTATCAAATAATTATTCTTACGCAGGTCTTTTCCCAGGTTCACTTTTCTGCTGCCACCAGCTCGCACCTCGTCCATCAATTTGCCCTTTCATCAATTTTAAGCCAGTTTTTGTTTTGAAACAAGCCGTTTTGCCTATCGTCACCTTCCAAGCTGTCATATCAGGTGCCATATATTTCCGAGAATCGCGATACCATGATAAGAGCATTAATATTCAAAATTTTGAGCTTGTTTGGATGAGTTTATCTACTGTGGCCAAAAGAGCTCATTTAAAGTCATAAGCACTTTTTATTTTTTTGGATTGCTAGTTAAATTTCAAAAGTATTTATAGGATTTTAATAAATTATTTTACAATCTTTTTAAGTTTATTTAAAGTATTGAAATTCAAAATATCCCTATTATATAATTTTTTTGTAAATTTGACTTGATTATTATTGTTATTAAACTTTTTTTGGTATTATATATAAAAAAACTCTTTTACGTTTTCCTAATAGGATAATCTCAACTGCATATATTCTGTTAATATGTTTCCTTTTATATAGGACTTTCCTATTGTAAATACATTCTATATAATGAAACCGATAGCCTCAATATTCTTTGAGGATTTCAGCCACACTATACACGAGTCTTTGAACCTCTATACTATCAAGCTGACAAACCCATTTTTTTTTTCAATTTGACACGTAATACTAATACATTTTATATTTGTATTCTTTAATTTTGAAATACGAAGATGAAGCTCTCATTGGGACCACAAGTTGTACCCATCTTTTTACAAAGTTCTAGACATGTAGCTTCAAGAGTTAAATAATCATTTCAATGAGGTAAACACTAAATTGCTTATTTGTTTGACATATTTATGTTCAAATGAATCATTTGTTGTTTTGGATAAACAAAAACTGATGTGTCTTGCCGAACTTTATCCAAAAGATTTTTCTGACTTAGAACTTATGGCACTTGATTCTCTTCTGGATGTTTACATTTTGGATATGTACTCTAAAGTCAAATTAATGGGATCACATGGGATTGAAGATCTTGCAAAAAATGATAGTTGAAACTAAGAAGCATAGAGTGTTTCCATTAGTTTATTTGTTGATGAAATTAATATTGATTTTACTCGTTCCCACTATGAGTGTACAAAGAGCATTTTCAACAATGAATTTTGTGAAGAATTGTTTGTGAAATCGAATGAGTGATCAATGGTTAAATAATGGCTTAGTTTTGTATATAGAGAAAGATAGATTTGATAGTATTGATAATGAAGTCATTATACAATACTTTCAAAAGATGAAATCTTGTCGAAGACAATTATAAATGTATTAATTAATGAGAATTTTATAAATACAAAACTTTTACTTAATTTAATTTAAAATTGTATTGTTTTTCCAACTTTAACCTCTCTACATTTCATTTATGTCTATATCATTGGTTGCCTTCTAATATCATATTTTTATACTACTCATATGTGCATGTTTCTGAACAAATTGTAAATCATTGTAATATTGTATCTAAGAAGGCAATTACACACCATCCCCACCTTATTATTTTGGCATTTCTCGTTCAGTAATCGCACTACAAAAAAAGAAGGCATTCCTTTACAATTTTAAATTGTGAAGAGCAATTCGTTCGCCGATAAGTGATTATCAAGGGAGTCATTGTCAAGAATTGTTTGATTTTGACTCACTTACAAGAGTAAACGACTTTTTCCTGCCCAAGGTTTGCCTTAATGACGTTTCTCATCCAAAGAAGTTCAAAATACCACTTAAGCACCTAATGTTTATATTTTGTTAATACTCAAAATATACTTCACTTTCTCAGCCAGCATTCAACGAGTTACCAAGAGCCAGGATAAAAGTGTTTTTATAAAGGAGAGGCCGGTGGATTGAATGGTAGTGACCGATTGAATATTTGCCATCATAAATTATTTAAGAACAGGAAACCGTAACTTTGCAGTGATCGAAAATCAACAAAAAATCAGGTCCCGAATTGAGAGGGGTTTTGTAAAGGCAACCGGGGGTTCAAATGATGGTGATGAAAAGATTTTTCACCGTTAGAACCAGCTTTGGGTGGTAATAGAATATTAACTTTGGGTGGGAAAGTGTCAATAAGGCAAACCTTGGGTGGGAAAAAGTTGTTTACTCCACTTACAAGTTACAAGTAGGAAAAATTAGATTAGTTTGTTAATTGATAAACTTTACATGATAGCATACAAGCATGTAAGAAGAAGAATGTGTTCAATTGTTGTTGATAAAATAATCAGAGACATGATCTTGGCTCTACAATTCCTAAATTGTGTCCATAAGCATTGTTGCAGCTAGAAACGAGATGTTTTCCTTTAGTGTCTAATTTCAATCGAATATCCTCAAAGTTGATGTTGGTACAAGGAACATTACTGTTTCAACTAAGATTGATGGCCACCACGGTGGTGGATGTCTTAGTCGAATGGGAGAATCGCACACTGCTTATATGAACTCCAGTTTTCTTATCACATATATAAAAGATAAACTGTATCAGTTTTAGAATAATTAATGGCATAGAACATATTAAGATCAAAGAGTTTATTTCTCTTACCGTGCTGTTACAAGCACCTTTGACATCACAGTAGAACTGGTCAATGATTATCGAATTCTCCACTTTTACAAACGTTAGATGTGAGAACTTAACATTTCAAACCTCACCTCTCCCAACCTAATAATTCAATTCAATTCATAAAAAAACTAACCAAGTCACATAATTTTTTTTTTTTTTTTTTTGGATAACCGGGGGTGTCTAAGCCAACTTACGTGCACATCAACTAATCCCTCGAGACCCTGGAACTATCAGTCAAGTAAGAGTTCTAGTGGCTATACATATTAACAACCAAAAAGAGATTCAAACTCAGGACTTCTTACGTAATACACCCAAAATCCCTATTGAACCACTCAATCATCCAGAGGTAGTTCAGTCACATAATTCGTTGTAGAAGTATATATAGATTTTACACTTGAATATATAGTTGGTTTAATTTCCTTCTTATGTTTTATAACACTGCATAATTTCTGCAGCTCTCCTGATCGAATTTACCTTGATTATTCATAATCGTTATCTTATTGATAATCACTGTTAACACATGAATGAAAAAGAAATAGGCTATCAAGAATATTATATATAGTGAAAGAATCATACTTGCCAAGTCTTGATCCGGGCTCCATTGGTATTCTTGTAGAATGAAACATTTCTCACAATGATGTTTTCTACTTGTACTTCATTTCCATCTCTACCTAAGCTTCCAATGCTACCCTCCAATGTAGCAATTAACCAAATTTGCTCAAAATTCTAGATATATATCATTAATACTTGTGGCACTTACCTTATACCATGACCAGGTCCACAATTTACATAGCTAACTTTAATCTTTGAAACATAATCATCAATTGAGATGCAATCATCCCCTATGTTTTAACATTTAGAAAAAAGAAAAAAAGAAGAAAAATAAAAAAGGAAGGTAATGCTGAGGATTGCAAGAGTAATTTTAAGAAATGAACATTTTACTAGTGCCAATAATCTAGGATTGGACAGATACATTCCGGAAATTTGAAATGTGAATTCCATCAGTGTTAGGGCTTGTTACAGGAGATCTTATCACCAAGGATTTGAAGCTAACATTTTCACTATCAGTTGCAAGTATATGGGTTTAAGGACTCCACACAACATAAATTCCGGTCATATGCACATCACTACAATGTCTAAAACCCACTGCCTGTAAAAAGAACATGGAAAAACTTGCATCAGCTTCGTATACATCTATGGCTGCAAAAAAAGATTTTGATACAAAATAATCACTCATTGACTTACTGTAGGTGCCAGTGTTGTACAGCCTTGCAAAATATAACAATATATGGAAAATTAGTGCAGAAAAAAATTATAAAATATTAAGAATGCATGAGTTTGATTTATATAGGTAAAGTAGACCACTGGCCAAGACGTCCTAATATAAATTATATTAGATCCATCAAGACGTCCTTACTAGAGAATTAACACATATATTTATAATTTATATATATACCTCTATGGGTTTAAGTTTGCATGAATTATCTGACCTCCTCTTTCCACTTCCATCAATGAGGCCAAAGCCACTGATATTTAGCCCTGAAACGCCATTAAAAACCAGCCATTTTCCCCTCTTAGATGCTTGCCATGAATGAAGATCATCTGGAGCCTTCACTATTCCTGACAACTATAGGAACAATACATCAATTTGAGGTTCTTTTTTTTTTTTAATTATCATTAGTAATAAAAATCTACTGTTTCTTGCTTACTCGGATGTTGATGTTACTGGATTTGCAAGGGCCAGTGAAGGTCATGGGATACACCAGAAATGTCTTTCCCTTTGGAATAATCATGGTTGGTGTGCCTTCCATTGCATTGCAGGTTTCGTCCCAAGCTTTCTCAAATGCCTATAATTCAAAACTGTTAAAACCATTTTCAGCTTAGATTAAAAAAAAAAGATGAAGATGTCATTACCAAGGAATCATTTGAGTTTCCATCACCATTTGCTCCATAATCTAAAACGTTAAATGTATTCTCAGCATACACATTCATGAAAAATATTGACACTACTGAGATCAGGCTCAAAATATATATTCTTCCCAATAAATCCTGCAAAGTGAAAAAAAATAAAAAGTAAACTGATGAATGATGTCAGAGCAAATTTGAATCTCTCTTGGCTGGCAAGAGCAAATTTGAATCCCTATTGATAATACAAAAAGATTGCTGTTGATGCTTGATTTTGACACCAACTCTTCGCACGTGAGAAATGCTAAGCGAACTTAGAAGTCACACGTGATATGGTAATGTTCAGTTAAATAAAAGGTGAGAAGCAATGTTTAAAGTGGTTCGGATGCTTAGAAGCGAATCTTACGTCCACTGATATTGTATTAATGAAATAAGATCGGGTCACATTAAACGAGCTGAGTTACAACTTAGAGAATACAAGGGGGGGGGGGGGGGGGGAGAGAGAGAGAGAAAAGAGAGTAAGCTATTCTAGAGTGAAATTAGCCAATCCCACAAATGAAAGAGGTCTTCCTATTTATAGTGGGATGGACCAAGGTAATGATTACAAATCTACAGGGGGGTGGATATGTGCAATCCTTCTGCATCCCATTGCCAATTTGCCCGAGTTATTCCTCGACTTATGTGGAGTGGACATAGGACGACCTAACCACCGCTAACTTGGTGCTCACCCACTGCACTGACAGGGGCATGCTGCTTACACCATTATGCGATGTGGGTGCACCTGAACAGTCGCAGAACCTTCCCAAGCTCTGACCATCCATGCTTACAAGACGCGAGAGCCCTACTTTTCCAGGCATAACAGAAGTCCCCTAGTTTTAAGGTTTGAGAATCACTTGAGAACTTCACAATTATGTCTTGATTTGATATGTCTGAATGAAGCCTAGTCGATCTGACCTAGCTACATGAGGTGCAAACACTTTCCTACGGGCGGCCTGATATGGTCTTCTTCACAAGATTAACGACCTGGATTAGACCCTATTTAGGCTGTATTGATGTGTTTCTTATCTAACCGAGGTCTGCGACCTAGTTATGCTTGTATATTCATCTGAAGGAATCCTATCGCTCTGCAACTGACATGCGAGAAGAGTGTTCTGTCTCAAACGACCTCTTCAGATGTTATCCATTGCACTTGCAGCTAGTCATTAATAGGTGTCCTTATTCTGACAATCGTGTCTGTACATATAAATGCCAGCCATGCGCATTAAATCAAGTCATGTAAACGACATTCCTTATCAGGGCATTAAATGAAATTAGGAGTGCATTTAATGTGGAGAGAGACGAGCCGTCGCTTGATTATTTCAATTGAAAGACATGATGATTGAATTGCTTGAAGCATGGCGGTTACTCTTTCTCGTTGATTCATGACACGTTGTCGCGATCAACGGCTAGAAAAGCATTGTCCAAATGTCACTTGGCTTAGGAAATTCTAATCGCCATTCCCTCCACTATAAACCCAGACTCCCTTAAGTAATGTCATAACAATACATTTTCAAGAAAAAGCAAGGAGCTCTCACGAGACAGAGATTCCAATTTTATAAGTTGGTGCGCATCTCTACTTACAGGGAGAAGTTCGATCCCCATAGCCGAAGAGAAAGGTAAGGAAGGTCTTCCAGTGCTTTTTTTTTTTTCTATTCGAGTATAGTTAACCAGTCGATAATGGTGAGTTTTTGTGAGGAATAGGTTTTATGAGCCAAGCCATTGGGGGTCCAAGGGTTTTTAGGGTTTTGGTCTTCCACGTCGTCGTACAAAATTATTGTACGAAGACTGAGTACTCTCCAATGTCCCCCTTTTTTCAGACCGTAGATGATATAGACCCCACAGCGGCCAAATCGGATGAGGGACAAGCTTGCAGAGGTAGGACGCCCCAGTGGGTCCTGCGTAAGGATTTTATTGGTAGCCACCCGAGACGAAGTGCAGGAGGCAGTAGACCAATACACAATTAGTGTGGACGTCTACCATTATCGAAGGCATACAGCTTTGAATTCGCCAGAGGGAATGGTTGCGATCTCCGAACATATATCAAGTACGGAGCACTGATTCCCTTCCATCCTTAATCAGCTCGATCCTTGATCACTTCGGGGTCGCACCTTTACAACTGACACTAACGCGTATATCATAGCCGTGGCTATGTATATGGTGCGGCAAGTACGGCCTCAGCCAACTAACTGCGTTGGAGCTCGCTTGTGCATACTATTTAAAGAAGAGAGAAGGACAAGGATTCCTACTACCTCTCGAGGTGACCCATGGTCGAAGGAGGCATTCATAATTACCCCAGCAATGTTGAGGCATACGAGACCAAGTTTTTTTTTTTCATTATGACGACATCTGCAGTTTTAGGGAGTCGAAGTAGTTTCCCTTAATTAACTTGGTGAATTTTTTCTTTCTTCTTGGCTTTGTTTTCTAATAATCCTCTTGTCTCTTACGAGGGAACAAGTCGACCAGGCTGACATAACTTCTGACATCACCGATAGTTTCATTGATAACCTGCCAGATTACAGTCACGACGTGAAGTGACTCGTGATAACCGCGAACTTGAGAAGTACGACTTCTTCAACTCTAAAGCGACCTTGGAACCTCTACTACGTAAGTGTCGCGGTCCCTTAGATTTTATTTTTGCATGTAGCAAACCTTTAGCTAACCAGTACTTGTAGCAACGGACATGTCGCAAGTGTCGAAGTCATTGTGAGAGAGAGCGTTCGTCTTCCTTGGGTCAACTCCTCAGGACCAACAAAGCGGGCCCAACGACAATCCTCGCTAAAGGAACGTAGGTGGGGGCATAGCACCCCCCGAACAACCGGTCAAAACTGCAGCTAGGCTACTCCCACCCAAAAACGCAGAAAACCATGGGCCAGAAGGCCAAGAAAAAAGGGTGCGCTAGCCCGAAGAGTCAAAGTCCAAGCCAGAGGTCTGGGTGTACAACCTGAAAGGTTGCACCTTATGAAGCTCTTCGCGCCAAAGGGAACTCGAGGGGGGAACCAGGGTTACAATTCTCCCAAGCCATTATGTAAAGGACAGACCACGACCTTTGGGGAGAAGAGAAGGCAAGAGCTCGGCTAGCGAGTGTGCCTTTGGCTATAGGAGCTAACACCCCGGTACTACACTCTGGGGGTCAGCTTCGGAGCACCTTCATGGTGGTGTTCACCTTTTTGGAGTGCTAGCTGCTAATTTTTTGATGAGCTCGTGGCCTCCAATCTGCCGACTGATGATAGGGCAGTCCAACTGCAAAGCCAAGAAAACGGTTTATCCTCGTCGAGGGACTTTCCAATACTTACTCTTTTTCAAGGCAGTTGCCTAACACTTGCTTATTACTTGTGTAGTCTTTGCTTGCCCTGCACCTGGCCCAATAGAAAAGACTCTACTGGAAGCTGCTGAGGGACTCTCCGAGTTGAAGGAAGAGAATGCGCAGCTGAAGTTAGATTTGGCAGCTGCAAAAGAAGGTAAACCTGAACATCATCCAAACAAATCATACATGTCGGAGAGGAACTAACCCTAATACAGTGGAATTCCAAAAGATCAAACGAGAGAGAAGAGGGGAAAAGGGCTCAAACAGTTCAGAGGAGGTGGCCAGGACCACTAAGGAGGCTGGTGAGAAAGAGACAGAGCTGCGAGCAAGCTCTGAGCGGCCTTGCAGGTGGAGGAAGAGAGAGCTCGATGTTGGGAGACTCCGAGAAGCATAAGAAAACTCTTGAAGTGAACTTGGAAAGTCCCAGGGGGGGTCGCTTCTTTAACTAAAGGGATGAAGCGACAAGAGTTAGAGACGAGGAAAGGCTACTGACTGGTCGATCAGTCCATTTATGCCCTGAGGCCAAAGAATCAACCATGGGCCTTACCGACCCTCCCGAAAGATTACCAGAGGATCCTTGCTCTATGGCGCAAATTGATGAGGCAGATCAGGAAATTTCTCTAGAGAATGATCTTTGGAGGACACTCCTAGAGGACCCAGCGCTGACCAGGAGGTCGGCGACCAGCATGGGGATATCGAGGTCGTACCGAAAGGGCCTAGGGGTGAAGACCAATGATCGCTTTGCCTCTACATTCCCATAACTTTGCTATATGTTTTTGCATAGTTCTCTGTACTTAATGATTTATGAAATGAATTTGATCTCTTTTAAATTGTTCGTGAGTACTTGTAATTTTTTGTACTCCACAAACATACACATGCGAACAGGAGGCCGCGCCTCAATTATTTGCGATATTAATTATGTGGAGACTTTAATTTTCTACACTTCACAAATATTACACATGCGAACAAAAATATAGACGATGCGAGTAACAAAATTACATTTGTACAATATGAATTTTATTTGACAGGGATCTTAATTACAAAGCTTTACAAGAGAACTTTTTCAAGGAAAGAGTGAGTTCGGAATTATTGATAATAAGGGCGAAGATGCTCAGCATTCCAAGCTCGCGGTACTTCTTAACCGTTGAGCCTTTTGAGGTGATAAAGTCCCCAAGCGTATCACCTAGCGACGAGGTAGGGGCCTTCCCACTTTGGTTCAATACTCCACACTTGATTCCTTATGCCGAGGAGAACTTCTTTCAGAACCAGTCACTGACTTGAAAGTCTCTTTCCTGACTTTAGAGTCAAAGAATCTTTTCGCGCTGCTGGTAGGCTGCTATTGTTGCTGAGCTTTGCCGCGATGTTTTCAACTAAATCCAGACTTGCGCCATGGCGCTTCATTATTAGTTTCATTGAACGGTCTCTCCGAAGGCCAATCCCTATTTCATAGGATCATTACCTCGCAGCCATGCTAGCAAGAAAGGTGTTTCTGAAATAAAGGTCTTCGGAGTTATCCTGTATGCCCATAAGAGTTTGGGAGGTCGTGACGACCAAGTTCCCTTGGCAACGCCAAATTTAGCTTTCAAAATATGCTTAATGTCTTGTTGACAGGTTCAACCTGACCATTTGCTTGCGGTCTTGCGACTAAGGCGAACTTTTATGGATCCCCAACTCGTCGTAAAACTGCTTGATTCTGTATATCGAACTGCTTCCCATTCAGAGTGAGGGTAGAGGAATTTTGTAGCTGCACACTATGTTCTTGAAGACAAAGTCCTTGAGTTTTTAGTTGTGATTGTGGCCAATGGTTCGGCCTCGGCCCACTCGGTGAAGTAGTCCACTGAGACCACGCCATACTTGACCCCTCCCTTTCCAGCTGGCATGGGTCTATAAGTCAATTACCCTTATAGAAAACGGTCAGGGCGGTTATGGTTGTCAGTTGGTGGGAAGGAGCTCGCTGTGATGTTTGCGAACCACTGGCATTTGTCAGACTTTTTTACAAAGTTGAAGGTACTTCTTGGAGTAGGGGCCATGTATACCTTTGACGAACAACTTTGTTGTGAAGGATCGCGCAGTAGTGTGGTTACTGCAGATCCCTAATGTATCTCCCTCATGATATAGTTTTCTCATTGGTACACATCGGAGGAGGAGGGGCGCTAAACCCTTGCTTATACAACTGATCTCCTATGAGTGTGTAACGAGCAGCTCTAGTTCGCAAGGTTCTTGCCTCACCAAACGAGTAGCTCTAGTCGCAAGGTTCTTGCCTAACCTTGTCGTTGGGCAAGGTCTGATCTCAGAGATACTAGATAATTGGGGTCTCTAGGAAACTGATTTGTTGCATTCACAGCCTATTTGGGCGAACTGATAGAGGGATCTCTATGAACCGAACAAGAATACTTTTTGGTGTGTCTGAGTCCAGCGACAAGGCTATTTTTACCAAGGCATCTGCGACAGAATTACTGTCTCTAGGAATCTGCGTGA